GGTAGTGTCGACAAGCAATTCGAATAAGACGAGGTTTTTAAGGAAAAAAATATTCCTTTATGTCATACAGCGGATGACAGTTTCTCCGATCGGTAGACAGCAAAGCACAGCAATTAGCTTGATAATGAAAGGAGAGATCAAACAATTTTGTATACGCTACAATAAATGGCTAAAAGATCGGCAAAAAAAATCATCGTCTGTTAACGTAGGCACGAAAGGCAAGCAACGACCCTCGTCTGTCGGCCTTAGAGATCAAATTGACAATCATGTCGGCTGACACGAAGTAGACAAAGCCAGGACCAAATTTTCTTGTAGAAAAAAGGCAAAGAAAAAGACGGTTCAAGCGGCATGAACAATGAGAGCCTACAACAGGTGCAAGAAGAAACTCACAATTCCTGTGAGGCGGTCCCACCTGCAATGGTGCAGGAGATGACTCCTTGGCCTTGAAGAACAAGAAGAATGCTCGCTGTCGGGACTTGAGGAAGGCTGAATCCTCGGCTCTCGTCATCAAACTGGAGAGAGGGCAAAAGCAAGACAATTTTTTTGGAAAATTCGGATGGAGGCATGCACGAACCCAAATTAGATGTTCTTGGTAAAAAAGGATACGATAAATAATAAAAATTCTAGGTCTAGCGAGAGCGCCTATCAACAATGTGAATAGATGCATCGGGCGAATTCCGACTCCAAGACAGACGAGGGGAGTCTTTACAAAAAGTGATTAAGTGGAATTGTGCTAACAGGGGCTCACCTGAATCATATCTACTGCAAACTCGGACACCGGAGGTATGAAGGATTTCATTGAAACACCCTCAGGCGTAGGAGTCGATTGAGTGGCACAAAATTGGAGCGAATCAGCCGGTGAAGAGACGGCAGAATTGTAGTCCAGCATCTCTAATAGCCTGTCAACGTCCTTGAACTTGGGCGTCAGTCCTGCCCGCACTACGTTGTCCGAATTGGCCATGCATTCGATGCAGTCGCCAGAGAGGTAGGCGTGTGGCGTATTCTCCTGTCATTGGTTTGGACAAGTCTTAGTCGCTAAATGGTAACCCACACTATTTCGCTTTCCGAACGAACATGAAGAGTAGAATTTTATTTTTTAGTAACGCCTCCTCTGCTGGGTAACATCTACACCACCTTCCAAAGGTAATTCAGAGAAGACTATACGGAGAGACTAGGTCTGAACTATTAGAAGCCACTTCTTCTCCAACTAATTGGATAGTGTGCAGAATCTTAA